GTTTTAACAATGGTCAATAATCGTTGTAAAAAATGAAACCTTTCACATCATTCATGGAACGTTGCTGCAAAAGGTGACATTAATATTATGCATTTAAATAATGTTGCCAAAACTCAATTATTTTAACCAATGGCAACGTTCACTTATTAGAATGTTGTAATAGACTCTTTTAGCAATACTTAATTAATAAATGTTGCATTTTTAGTGTTACAAAATATCATATTTGTTGTAGTGCTGTCAGTTTTCACACATACATGTCCTTTGAAGCTTATCCCAATGATGGCTCAACTTTACACCGTCCAATTTCATTGGCCATCAGATGAAAATCGTTAATAGATTTGCCTACGTGGTTGACGGTAATTTGACGTGGTACACTAAATGATAACTCATTTGCCATGTCAACATCAAGTAAGTAAGAGCTAAACCTGCCTTCTACTTTGGACTTTGGAAAGAAATTAAAACAAAAAACCTCATAATTCTTTACCAAAACACCTTTTTTTCTTCCACCAGAAATCCATTTACTTGAAAAAATTGATCCAAACCCCGAATCTCGTATGTTCGAAGCTTGTTCCAAACCCTCGTTGGAAATTATGTTGGTGGAATGATACCGAGTTTTCTCATACCGGTTTATAATATTAGTTAATTACACGATAAATTAAATTATCATAAACCACAATATATTAATCTAAGTTAGAACTAAATTATATTAAGTTATGTAAAACACGTTAATTTAATAAATCTAAACGGGAAAGCTAAAAATTAATAGAAATTTCAGAGAACAAAAAAAAAAAAAAAATTAACGACATGCTTATAACTTCATATAAAATTTTAACCCGAGGTCTGTGTAAACACATTGTCCTTAAAACAGATTCACTCTCTCACCGTACGTGCTTGAATTTTAATCCGAGCGTCTGTTTCCCAGGATACAACGATATATAGTAGAATCTGAGCACCGTAGATACTATTCTGGAGGATTGATCTAGTATCCGAACAATATTACCACAAGAACAAGACCTTACTGGACAAGGAATGCAAAAAAGAAGAAACTGTGTATGCAGGAATGTAGGTGAGATTTTCGAGTGAGTTAGATTGCTGAGAATGAGCCTTTTTATAGGCATACTGCCCATTAACATTGTGACCATTGGGAGTCCATTGAAGTTACTACCCATTAACACTGTGACCATTGGGAGTCCATTGGAGTTTTTGCAGTTTTAGAAACTCAAAAGTTATTGGAGAAAGCAAAAAAATTGCAAAACGTGGACTCTCTAAAGGGGCGAATTCTGCCTTGTTCGGTCCAACATTCATGTGCGCAGCGCGCCCGCACCCAAATTCAAGGTCTGAAGGCTATTTCCGTCCTAGATTTGTACCCCCCCTGTGCGCGCACGTGGAGAGAGCCTCTATGTTACACATGATTACACCATTCCAAAGTGTAGGCATATATAAAGGGGTTCATGCTTTCTTCATTTTTCTATGTGGGACAAATGTCACTTTTCCCATATAAACCATCTTCCAATGGCCAACTTTGAGCTCCAATTTCTCGTTCATCCGTTAATCAATTTTGGCAAGTAAATATATGGTTTCGATACTCTCACGGAGGAGAACACAAATCAACTTTGATCTTCCAAATCAGACCAACGGGTCCTACTCAAACTTATGCCAAAAGTGACTCATTTACTCATTTTTCCAACAATCCCCCACATGAATGAAAATTGGGAGAGACACGAAAACGTGACACGAGAGACTTGGTGATAAAGTTCAACGATTGAAACCTGCATAGAATAGGTAGGTATTACCCTTTGAACCTTCCTTTGTGAAAGTATATTTACTTTACTAGCTGACCAGTAGACGCGTTGTCCTTGAACTGTTCTGCTGTTTATGTAAACGATGATATACTCCACACAGGATTCTTCCTAACACAATTCAGTTTTCATTATTATGTTCGTTTTGGCCATGAACATACGCCTGGTCATGTGAGAGTTTCTAAGAGTTGAGCCCCACACAATTCTCTTAGAAGTGGCCCCACTTCTTTCTCACATAGGTGATTTCTTATTACAAGTAACCCACATTACTTGGCTCGATTTACGATGCATAAGAATCATTAAAAGCCTACTGCTTATCTTTCATCCTTACGGGCATCACTGTTACATCATAGGAATGGACATGAGGTAACATCCCCCAGAGTGATTTAATCAAATCTTTACAATTAGGTTGTCCCTTTGAACCTAGATCTTGAGATCTCCAGTCAACTAGGTTGGGTTTCCTTTATATTGACTTATCCTTCCTAGGGCTTAAGTCACATTCCTCTCGATGATTTTCCAACTAATTCTCTATTTAACCCTTTGGTTAGCGGATCCGCAATGTTATCTTTTGACCTTACATAGTTAATAGTGATAACTCTAGTTGAGAGTAGTTATCTTATGGTATTGTGTCTACGACGTATATGTCTAGACTTATCATTGTACATGTTACTCTGTGCCATTTCTATTGCTGATTGACTGGTACAATATATGCAAATTGCTGGCACATATTTTGACCATCTTGGAATATCCCCTAAGAAGTTGCACAACCATTCGGCCTCTTCACCACATTTATCTAGAGTTATAAACTCAGATTTCATCGTAGATCTGGTTATAACCGTTTGCTTAAAAGATTTCCACGATATGGCAGCTCCTCGCAATGTTAATACAAATCCACTGGTGGACCTTAAGTCTTTTATATCGGATATCCAATTAGTATCACTGTATCCTTCAATGACTGCTGGGTATTTGGTATAGTGTAGTCCAAAATTACAAGTATATCTAAGGTACCTCAGTACTCTTATTATTCCTCTCCAGTGATCAGCTCCTGGATTACTCGTGTATCTACTCAGTTTACTAACTGTGTAGACTATGTTTGGTCTTGTATAACTCATCAAGTACATCATACTTCCAATAATTCTCGCGTATTTTATTTGAGAGATACTTTTACCTTTATTTTTGGATAGATGCTGACTTGTATTTATCGGTGTTTTAGCTATCCCAGAATCATCCTAACTAAACTTTTCTAAAATTTTGTCCACATATTGTGACTGGCTTAGAATGATCCCATCTAATCGTGAAATTTTAATTCCAAGTATAATATCAGCTAATCTCATATCTTTCATGTCAAATCTTGAATTTAACAGATTTTTAGTGGATTTAACCATCTTATCATTACTACCAACAATAAGATGTCATCAACGTAAAGACATAAAATAATATAACCATTTTCAGTGTCATTAATATAAACACATTTGTCACACTCGTTGATTTTAAATCCACATTCCATCATGACATTGTGGCCTACTTTGTCACAATTGAAGCATTTTCCTTGAAATTTCTTATTAGAAATTCCACCTTTCGGTCCTAACTTTGTCCCTTTGCCACCGGATGGCCCAAACTTATTTTTGTGGGTCTTACTATTTTGACCATGCTCCACAACATTGTCTTTAGCCACACCAGGATTGAACCACTTCTTTTCGAAACTTTTATTGTCTTCTTCAATTCAAAGTCTAACAATTAGTTCTTCACATTCATTTCCTTTTGTTTGTGCTTCAGATAATTCTTAAAACTTTTCCACGAGGGGGGTAATTTTTCAATAATTGCAACCACTTGAAAAGTTTCACTTAAACTCATCCTTTCGGCATGAATCTCATGAAGAATTACTTGGAGTTCTTGCACTTGACTGATAACTGTTTTGGAGTCCACTATCTTATAGTCTAGGAGTCTGCCAACAATGAACTTTTTAGCTCCGGCACCCTCAGTTGTATATTTTCGGTCCAAAGACTCCCACAATTACTTAGCAGTTTTCATAGTACTATACACACTGTACAGCGAATCTGCTAAGCTGTTCATAATATAGTTTCAGCACAAGAAATCTAAATGCTTCCACGCATCAAGTGCACTAATTGCTTGCACATCTCCTTCACCCTCATTGAGTTTTGGAGTAGTTTCAGTCAAGAATCTCGCAAAATTCAAGGTGGTCAGATAAAATAGCATTTTCTGCTGCCACCTCTTGAAATTCAATCCATTGAATTTCTCCGATTTTTTTCCATGATTAACCAGCACAGTTGGAGCCATAGTTTGACTCGCAACATGACTTGGCAACTTAGCCATAGTCTGTGCCATAACGAAGCTTGGCCCTTGAGCCACAGTAGAGCCCACAGCCTGATTTCCAGCAGGAGCAGTTTGGGTCACATCCATGTTGGTTGGTTCGGTAGCCATTTGTGAAAATGAAACAAATATTAATTTATAATAAACAACTTGTTTATTTCAATAAAATAAAATAAACAATTTATTTTCTACCAATGTATATAGAATCTATTTTAAATTTTTGTTGGAAATTATGTCAGTGGAATGATACCGGGTTTTCTCATACCGGTTTATAATATTAGTTAATTACATAATTGATAAGTGTGTTTTTGCACACTTATTTAGATCACAAACATGACTTAATTACAAGAAAAATATTTAAATTGTGACTTAATCTTGTTGAATTCATACAATGTAGGTGTTTCTATGGAAATGGTGGAATTCAGGAGAAAAGAGCTGAAAAAGGA